ATAAAATAAAATAAAAAAACAAACAAAAGAAAAAACAAGGAATCAAAAAGCTTTCATCCTTGAAAGTTTTTTATACCAGAAAAAATCAGTAAATTCGCTTTGTGAAAAGACTGCTTCTGCTTTTGAACCCAAATATGTAATGATTATATGTTTTGCAGTCTTCCAAACAAAAATTTAAAAGAAATATAAAAATCTGAAATAAAACTAAAAATCATTTTTGAGAGAGAAAAAATAATCCAAAAATCCTGGTGCAAAGCTACACCAACAGTTTCTTCACAATTTCATAAAACATTAATGAAAGGGTTACATAATCCCCTGGATTAAAGATTTTAAAGAGAGCAAGGATCTCTCAGTTTTCAATACTGCTTTCTCTGTTCTTATATCCATAAACAGATCTAAATCGATTCCTCCCAAACCATCTAGCTTTCAATAGAAGAAAAATCAAACCAAGAGCAGCACAAAACATACACACACACACACACACACACACACTCTTAATGTAGCTTTAAATAAGTATTATAGATTACATTTAAGTTCCTCAAACAACAATTTACAACATATACCACGTCCAGTTCATTCTCAAGGGAGAAAATCATCAAAACAAAAGCTCCTGCTTAATAAATGATTTACTTTGTAGTTAAGCTTTATCCCAGGTGCATTTTGTTGTCAGGTGTTACCACTATTTCTTTTCTCTACCTAGAAATTATAGATCCAGTTCCCTTAAAAATTTCTTTATATGTTTTGTATTAATATAAGACCAAGAAATACTTCTACTGTCTAAAAAAGAAATACCTTTTCACTTTTCTTTTTCAAAAGGTTTCTTATTTTGTTTTTGCTCATTTTCTATACATCAAATGTTTTCAAGCCAGTCTGTTTCAGTGTTAGTTGTTTACTGTTAACATATTTGCGTATACTTAGGTTTTTTACACTGGTCAAGAAAAAAAGAAAGAAAAGTGAACAAGACGACACAAGTGAAACAAAAGTAGACCACATCTGAAAAACACCACTCAATTTCTCTGTCTCAAATTCCCATAGGTCTCCATGCCAAAGATTCTCAATATCCAAAAAAGTTCCACAGTGTCAGATGCATAATAATACTTGACAAGACAAACACAGGGGAAGACAAATCAGAAAGTGAAGAAATTTAATGGAATGTATCACCATATAAAGAAGAAAAATAAATAAACAATAAACTCAATCCCTATATATTGGAGGGGTTGCTTCTGTTGCACTGAATGGCTGAAAACAGTTTTTCAAACTTTTTTGACTATAAGAAGTTCATTTTACATTGTGACCTACTATATACATGTATGAGAAAAATTTCCCAAAATAATACTATTCTTTACCAAGTGCAAAGCTAGTCAATTCTGTTCTACATTTTATTTTCAACGCTGGTGGTAACCCATAACATTAATTTTATAAATTCGTAATAAATCATGATCCATACTTTGAAAAACATAGGCTTTAAAAAGGAAAAGGGTCTCCTCTATAGCAGAATCTTTTTTTGCAATTTGCCTCTACCCTCTCTTGGGCAGGTATTTTAAAGTTGCTACATTATTACTGTTTTCATTAAAGCAAGTAGTTCTTAAAGTATGGTCCCTGACCGACATAACCCATCACTTGAGACAAATACAAATTCTAGGGCCCCACCTCAGACCTACTGAATCAGAAACCCCCAGGTGGGGCCAAACAATCTATACTTTACCAAGCCCTCCAGGTGATTCTGATGCAAGATAATGTTTGAGAACCACCGCATTAAAGAACTCAGGTCTTTGTCCTCTATTTAACAATCCAGTACACAGTGCTTACTATGTGACAGTCACTGTTCTAAAAGCTCTACAAGTATTAACTCATTAGAAAAAAAAAAAACTATGAAAGTAGGAACTATCAGTATACCTATTATACAGATGAGGAAACTGCACAGAGAGGTTGTCCAAGCTAAGTGGTGAAACTAGAATTCAAACTTCTATTCTTTTTCATTTGTTTCCTCTTCTTTTTTTAGAATCTTAAACCCAACTTAAAGTATAAGAGAATTCAAACTTATTTTCAATTTAGCAGGGAAAGCCTATCCTCTTCGTGACTATTTTTTCTGATCAAGTCCTCAGTTCTACTCGTTTAGTTCAGCTACTCCTCCCCTTTTCCCTCTCAAATTCCCCACCCTGTCAATGAACTTATTTCCTAATATTATTGCCATCATCTTCAAACAAATTTTTCTAAAATACTGGAATACAAGTCACTTTACCTTGTTTTTAGGACCTTATCTCTGGTCCTAGATGGCTTCTTAGTATTAATTACAAAGCTTACGTTTCTTCTATTTCTGAAAACCTCTGAAGCAATTAGTGGCTCCGTTGTTAATTTCTCACAGCTACTGTCCTTGCCAGTTTCCACAAGACCAATCCTCTCTCCCCAGAAACTTTTTCGTTCCCTCACCCTATCTGCGATTCCCTTCCTAAAAGGGTTATGTCTCCCCTCTCACCCCTGCCCACCTCCGTCCCATTCTGCTCGACTCCTCTCCAACTAAGGGAGCTTCCACTGCCTGCTGGACTCTCACCCCAATCTCAAACCCAAGCTACTCCTCGAGGACTTCTTTCCTGGTCCCCCGGGGATCCTCAGACCAGACCAGACCAGCTAAGGGGGGCAGGGCGCTCAGGTTCCTCCCCCAAGCTGTTCAAGGTCTCCACCGGTCCGACCCTCCACAGACCCGCCGCTCCTCTTCTCCCTAGGAGCCCTCCTCCCTTGGACAGCCGCCCTTCTCAGGAGTGTCCCCACCCCCTTCCAAGCCTTTCCTCAGACGCCCCTACCCGAGCCAAGGCTGCTCCCTGTCACCCTGGACCCCGGCCGCCCTCGGTCTTCCCATCTCCCTCTCTCAGACCCGGGCCACTCCCAGTTTCCCCCGCCAGCGCGCTCTCTCCACACCGGCCGCGTCCGAGCTTCCCGGGTTCCCCTTTTCCCTGGCACCCAAGCTGTCCTGGGTATTCCCGAGTCACCCTGCTCTCCGACCAGGTCGCTACAGGTCACCCCCTCTCTGGGACCCCGGCCGCTTCCGTCTCCTCAGGGACCTACCCCCTCACACCCCGGCCGCCAGTCAGTGCCCCAGACCTGAGCAGCTGGACGTCCCAAGGGACCTCCCGGCCTGACCCGCGTGGGTCCGGCCCCAGCTTACCTTCCCAGCGCGAACTCCGCCACCACAAGCGGGGCCATTCTCCCACCAGCCCAGTCAGAGCGAACTCGCCGCCGCCGCCCCCGCCTCCGCCCTGGCCCCGGCCCCGACCCGGCCCGCAGCCCAGGCCCCCTTCCTCCGGCCTCCGCCTCCGAAGTGCTGAGCTGGAGTTTCCGCCCCGCGACGGCCCTCAGATCTCAGGCTCGTGTTACCGGCACTCACCTGCCGCTGCCCCCGACCAACTCCAGCGCCACTGCCTCTACCTTCGGCCGCCAGTGGCCACCAGGCGCCACCACCTCCCCCATGACAACAGGCCCACCCCATTTCATACTTCTAACCTATCCATTGGATAGTGGGGCGGCATCTCTCTGCTCTCATTGGCTTAGTTTACCCGTCCGTCATCGCGTCTTTACCGCCCCTTTTCTTGGACCTAGTATGAGCCCCCGCCCGGACCTGGAGCGTCCTGGACGAAGCTTTAGTTGTAATTGGTTGGTGGTTGGGCAGTTAGAAGTTATGATAGGCTGCTGAAAGTGTCTGTTAAGTTAACTGGCAAGGGATATGACGGCCAAGGTTGTTTCAAGCTTGTGCACAGTTTGGTTGCACAGTAGAAAGCAAAGGAGGAGCCCAGAGACTTTCACATCCGAGCTTACCGGAGAAGGGTTAACTCTTTGTTGTAGAGTTCAGTCTGTAAACTTCCATTTCTGCAGCTCCCTACAAGGAGAAACTTATCATTGCTAGCTTATTCATAGAGGTAATAGTTGCAAAACACCAACATCAGAGGTTGTGTTTAAGAAGTGTTTTTAACCCCTGGGGAGAAAAGTATCATATAGATAAAATTTTCCCCTTCTTTTCTATTTTTTTTTTTTTTTTGAGACAGAGTCTCGCTCTGTTGCCCGGGCTAGAGTGCCGTGGTGTCAGCCTAGCTCGCAGCAACCTCAAACTCCTGGGTTCAAGCAATCCTTCTGCCTCAGCCTCCCTAGTAGCTGGGACTACAGGCATGCACCACCATGCCCGGCTCATTTTTTCTATATACTTTTAGTTGTCCAGCTAATTTCTTTCTATTTTTAGTAGAGACAGGGTCTTGCTATTGTTCAGGCTGGTCTCGAACTCCTGACCTCAAGCGATCCTCCCGCCTCGGCCTCGCAGAGTGCTAGGATTACAGGCATGAGCCACCATGCCTGGCCTCCCCTTCTTTTCTTGAGGTCCCAATGCACCCAATTTCCTTGAAGTTCTTTCCAGGAAGTCACCATGCTAAAGAGCAAAGTGCAACCATTGATTTAGCAAAAATTAGTCAACTTAAGTTGCAATTATAAACAGTGTCAAAAACTGAAGTGGCATGTTGAGAGTTCTCCAGCTTGCAGACCCACTCCTGGCTGGCTCCTGCCAAGTGACCAGGAAGCCATTAGCAAGTTTGGAAGAAGCAGGCCACATTTTACCCTTGTGATGCTCTGGAAATGAGAATTCTTCCTCCCCGCCCCCACCCACCCTCACTTAGTTTTTATGTTCAGCAGTTCTTAAATAGCCCTACTAGCTGTGTGTCAGATGCTTTAAAAGCTTCTCTTCCCCCCCCCCACCTCTCCTCTTCCTAGCACTCTAAATTAGGGCCATTGAATGAATTGCCTGGTTTTTTCTCACTTGGCACAATGCACAAGAATAAATGATTGCATTTTTTATTCATTTGGGTACAAATCACAGTAGGCATTTTTGAGAAATCTGGTGTTGCTATAAAAACTCCTGTGCTCCTAGAAATATATTCATCATTAGCTTTTTCCTTTTCTTTTTTCTTTCTACTCACTTTTCATAATCCTAAATAACAAAATGTTGGCCTGATTAGTCCTTCAATTTGTAAATCCAATTTAAATGTACCTTCCTCACAACTCTACCTGTAATATACAAACCCATGGGCCATGAAATATAACACCTAGGCATTGGTTAAGACAAGGTCAAGGAGGCATTCCCCCTTACAAGCACTACTTTACGGTTGGGAACTTATGGGACCAAGAACCTAGGCTTTGGAAATTTTGTATTTTGCCCCTTACTTCTTTCTACTCTTTGTCCCATATCTCTTCTACTTAACAAACCTCCTGCTCTTTGCAGAGCAAGCTACAAGGAGTTTAAAACTACATGGTTTATTATCCAGAAAAATATTGTCTATTTTCTAGCCTATATTTTTAGTCAAATTTAAATAAACTACATATTTCTATCACCAAACTAAGCAGAAATTATTCCTCCAGTAACTATACATAACAATAAAGTGTCTTTTCCTAGTTATTTTCCGGAACTTTCCTCCCCCTCTTCTCATCCTCACCTTCCAATTTAGAAATAACCTCCCATTCAATTCAATGACTCACAAAAAGCCTGTAAAAGGAAAGTGGAAAAACCAAAATAACTTCAGAAATGTCTGAATCATTCAGTCGATGGAAAGATCAGACATTGACCATGATAAGATGGAAGCCAAGACATAAGGCAAGCCCAAGTTAATAGCCCATAACAAATGAAGTAACATGCAAATGTGAAGGTGCCCCAATGAGAAGGAAACATCAGTATGACCTATTACACAGTCTTTTAATATACCACCAGCAGCTTTCTTCTCTAGCCTTGGCAGTGTGCCGTACTACCAATTTTAGAGCAAGTTAGAAGACAATTAATGTCCTGGCAGATAGGAAACAGTAACGTCATAGGAGGGCATGACCATTATGATGGTACTTTGTGTAATAATGGCTCTTGCACAGCCATAGTGACTAGGTGCCACAGAGAACATAGAATTAGGCCAGCCTCACTAAGAGGACTTGCTATCTAAGTTTAGGAACACAATGAAATTACTACCACAAAACTAGGTGGAAAATTGTCACAAAGGTCAGCTATTCATTTTATTTCATACACTAAAAAGAAATGCATTCATAAATGCTTTAGACCATACACGCATATGCACTTCTATCACTCCTATTCTTTGTGAAAATCAGTTAAGAAAGGAAATGTAAAATAAATATGTACAACCCAGTAAGAAGAAGGAGAACCTTAACGAAGGAAGGTTTTAAGGAACATACTTTGAACTAACAGAAGGCTATTGTGTTATCAAAGATTGTGCAGTACTGGAGGGGTTATTGCTTGTACCCTACATTTTGCTTTTATGTGCACAAGGTAACCCTATAATGTAATGACTCCATCCAGCTTCTCTTTTCTTTCTTGCGTTTTGTGCCTCTCCACCATTCTCAGGGCTCCCTCTTAGAAAGCAAGAATGCTGGAGTCGGGGAGTCTGCAGCTTTGTGTCGTGTGGCTGGCTGTGGAGGTGGTGTAGATGGTATCTGTTCAGAGCCACTTGAGCAAGACCAGGATGGCAGGTATATTAAGGGCAAAAATAGCATTTATAAATCCCAATTAAGCGGAAAATGGAGGACTTAGAGTGATGTCCCAGTATCTGAGGAGTGATATGGTGTGCCTTGGGCTTTCCTATATACTAATGCTACTGTTTCTCCTGCTCTCTTTTCGTAATGTCACTTTTCAAGGGAGGAAAATTCAAGTCTCCTTTCATTTCCCTTTTAGTCCAGAGGGGCGATCCCATGAGGGAAAGACTCCATTTTTTGTTTTTGGATTTTATTCCCCCTTGGATTCCACATACAATTCCAATTCCAACAGGATTAGAGAAACAAACAACTGGTGGAGAAGAAAATTGCTCAAATAGCAGACAAGGGCCAGAGCTGCCTGCCACTAGCAGTTGGAGGCAAGCCAAAATACTTGATAAGAGGTGGTTTCCTGAGTTAGGGATCCCTGAGGGTGGAGGTTGGCAGGGATGAAGGGATTAGGGAGGGAGAGAGGGAGGGGGAGAATCAGGAGAGAAGGGGTGGGGGACAGGAGAGAAGAGAGGGGACAGAGAGAAAAAGTAAGGAAACCTGGAGTCAAGAAGCCCAATCAGAGTGCCAAGCCAGTTTAGAGCTATCCCTCACCCCCTCCACCCCCCACCCTATGTGGACTTTAAACCAGGTTGCATAATTGCACCAATAAAGTGCAGTCTCTGCCACTGGTTAAAAGGGAAAGCTTGCCGGGGCTCCAGCCTATGGGATTGTTTTTCTACTGCCACCTGGAAGTCCTCCCTGAGCTCACAGCCTGCTGCTCTGGCACAGGGGCAAAGCTGACAAGGAAGAACAGATTTCATGCACCCAGCCAAGGAGAATATCCTCACTGGATTTCATAAAGGTGACCACTGGCAAAAAGCTCTGGCTGAACAAAGGGAGACTATCTGGAAGAAGATGTTTTTCCAATCCCAACCTGGGGGGCTTTATTTATAGGAAAGCATCAAGCTGCTTTCCATGCTGGAACAAGGCACTATGGTTTTAAAGTTCAAGGCTCTGTTTTATGGATAGGAGGAAGAAACAAAAATCGATGGAAGGGGGTGTTCTCTGAGGCAGAACCATTTGATTTCTAATTCCAGGGCTCGTGTAATTTTTAAATATCACACTATGCCTTCCCATTATTAAATACATTCATTTTCATCCTCAAGAAACGTGTATGCCTCCCTCCACCCACCTTACATATTATAGGTAAGATGCCTTGAATATTTGTAAAAGGGTTGGGTTGTAGCTCTCAGCTCTACCATTGTGCTATTAATGGAGACCCTGGTTACTATCACCAGATCTATGGGTGGACCAGCCATTCTTCTACAGCAGGGAGTGGGCCTGCTTAAAGCACTTAGCCATGTAAACTTTTGTCCATCCCTGTTTTATGTGCACACAAAGAGTTTCCTGGAAACATGGCTATACTCCAAAGATTTCAGAGAGTAGAATGCCTTCTAGAAACTCCAGTGTCCCGATCACTTGGAACCTTATAAGGAAGTAGAGTTGAACTCAGGCGCTTAAACCTAATGTGTTGCAAAAATCCTGGTTCTGCATTTACTAACTCTGTGACCTATGGGAAAGTTGATTCATCTCCCTAAGCTTCGGTTTCTTCATCTACAAAATAGGATAGGTATTAGCTATCATGTGCTGCATAACAAATTACCCCAAAACTTACTAGCTTAAAACAACATTTATCATCTCATAGTTTCTGTGGGTCAGAAATCCTGGTGCATCTCAGCTGGGTCCTCCAGCTGTGAGATTCTCACAAGACCACACAGTCATCTCAAGCTCAGTTGGGAAAGTTTTGCTTCCTAACTCACTCACATGGCTCTTGGCAGGATTTACTTCCGCACAGGCTTTAGACTAAGGCCTTAGTTCCTTAGGAGCTGTTGGCCAGGGACCTCGCTCAGGGCATTGTTTTGTGGGTCTTTTCATCTCACAACATGGCATTTTATTTCATTGGAGTGAGCAAGCAAGAG